TCATGGCTAAAAACTCCCGAGTAGTTGAACTTTGGATGGCAGTCTAATCGCGGGGATCATCTTGCGGATACGAGACTCGGATCGTTTCCGTACCAGCCGTCCGGTCCGGGTCAAAAATCAATGGCCGTTCAGATGAAGGCGCAAAATCGACCATCCGGAGGGACGAGAGCGTTAGTAATGCCGGGAGTTCCACAAAGCAGTTGGGCGGCCACGCCGAGAGCGTCGTACTTCAGCGTTGCCTTCTGCTGTTCCGTATCTGTGCTTATGCTCATTAGTCGCAGGTGGCTCTCCCACGCAATGGGAGTCGGATGAATGTGTTGTCTGAGTAACGGTCTTCTTATCCTCTCAGAACTTCTTTACGAGCGGAAAAGATGGTGCTGCGTGCAGTGGAGTCTGTGTCCCAGGACGAGGTGTCAGCTCAGGATGAAGCCCACGGAAGCAAGACTGTCTGCAGCAGAATACGAGGCGCGATTCGAACGTCTCCTGATTTGATAATGACTGATAATAATAGCTATCAGCTCAGGCAATGATCCATAAACCTGGAGTTATCGAGCAGAAAGATTGGGCAGCGAGTTCCCCGGAGAAATTCTCCAGTCCGACACCGATGTCCAGATGAATTTTAGCATCGAGTCGCATTCCTGGATTCGATACTGGAGAAGCTCCTTCTCCCTCAGTGATAAACTCGTAAGATCTCTCGAAGCTCTATTACTCAATGAGCGACATTTCGGCTAGGATCTCGCTCCCGATTGAAGAAAACACCGCGCGTCGATTTCCCCAGGAGCAGGTGGAAGCGAATCTATCGGCTCGACTGCAGACTCTGTGAGCTACCGCGTGTTCCGCAAGTCCGATACGGGCTCTGGAATTGAGCAGTCGGCAACGAAAATTGGTCTCCAGAGCTCGTTATTCGTGATCGATTATAGCTTCCAGGCTAAATTCGTTTTTCCGCCATGACGCACTGGGTAGCTTCCCCAAAGTCAGCGGGAAACAACGCGGACCTTCGCCGAAGAAGACTCGGGAACGTTCTCTCGCCCCGGAACCGATCCAGTTCTGGTTTACCGTACAAATCGAAATAGACTGGGCTTTTCTTCTTCCCAGGGTAGAACTTCTCCATGAGTTGCTCCCCCTCCATGACGGACCACGAACTCATCCGATATTGAAGGTCTATTCAATTCTCACATGTCCGATATACTTTCCAGAATTTCATGACGATATCCGAGAATTCTTCGCGCGATTCTAGGCATTCTCCATGGCCCGGTGAGGGATAGGGGCTCGAACACTGCGTTGGATCACGGGAACCATCAACGATGGCCGCCGCTAAGGATGGCCTTGTCCGCTCAATTTCGAGGGAGTATCCTTTCACACCGTGGATGAGCTGAGGAATGCGGTAAATGAAGCGAACATGGTAGCATCCCAACGACCTCATCCCCACCTCTAAGATAACGGAGATACGGCTTCTGATCCCCGATAGATTATGTGGCGGTCGTGACGCTGGTACACACTTATTCACACGTGATCCGTGGCCGAACTAGGGGCGAACTCTCTGAACACTTCAAGTCTACCGTAGATCTCTCCTTGGCGGTCCGGGCTCCTATTTTCTCAAGAGCCACGCCTCAGCGGAGGGGCTCCCTTTAGGAAGGAACTACTATTGAAAGAGGGCTGGTATTAGTTCAGAGAAAACCACACGTCGAAAAAGTGATGGCGGAGCTGTCACGCAGAGTGTTCTCTCGGTTCAAAGATCGGCAATAGACTCAAGGTGGCTGCTTTTTCGATGAAATGTGCATCAACTTGTTCCTCAAAATATGTGAAAATCACATGACGACCACAAATCGGAGGCGATGGGCCCCATTCCTCATTAGTGGTGGTGGAGGTTTGTATCGGACGAATTTGAATTTTTGAAAAGCCATTTTTTGAAAAGCCTCGCCGTGGAATCTCCCAATGGGGAGGGTTCACTTTCGAGGGGGACTTTCTTTTGTTTTTGAGGGGGGGGAGAAGGAGGAGCCTTCGGGGACTCGCAGTACCACCATTGCGAAAACAATCGTGTCAGAGTTAGAGCTTGACGGCCAACGCGGCATTCATCGCGATTCCGATGGAACTCTCGTCTCTGGTGGACATATCGATCCCTTTTGTATTCGAATCCCCAGGACAGCCGACTCGGTATTGAGGAACGCGGAATGAGAAAACCGTTGTTCCTTTGAGCGATATTATACGACGGCTGCACCGAAAACGCTCGCTCGACCCTCCTACCGACGCGTATGCCCTCCGGGTTCCTTATATGCCTTCGCTTTCAGAGGCGGCATCCAATGCCTCCCAAGGAAACGGTCTGATGTACGATAGTCGGCGGCGCGGCGAGAGTGTAGCTGCTTGTCGACAGAATTCTCGGACACGCATCTGCGAGCGATATCGACTGGCTGAGAACAAAGCGCTCGATCTGATGCCTGCTCCATTGCAGCTTGTCAATGCAGACGTCGAATCGCTCACGAGCATCTCGACTCCGGTTTCTGACGCGAGGTATATCGGCGGCTCGCAGAAATCAGACCTGTCGCTCTCAATCCGAGCAGCTAGTCGTCTGTCGCTCGAAACGGAGAAAACTAGTACGCTCCGCAAGCGGCTCAGCGAAGGTACTGAAATTCCGACGATATCGTTACCACTCTGCTACCGGCGGATTTCGTGATTCCGCGGCTCGGATGCGGAGTCAGAGCAATGGATCCCATCATACGCATTGCTGTTTGTTTCTGTCCAACGAACCGGCCACCAGAATTGATTTCCATGATAAGTGCCCTATTGGCTCGGAACTTGTCAAGAGACGCGACGGAGGGCTTGGGACGAGAGCATTGACGAGCCGAAGGCTCGCGAGGTCCCGAGGGAAGGAAGCGAGGGACGAGGCTCATAGGCTGATGGAGGAGTCAAACGATCGAAGCATCTAGCGTCTGACACTCCTCAAGCAGACGCGCCAACTTTGTCCGTGGGAGGCTGCTCACACCTCGTGAAACGTTGCTGTCCCATCGGGAGACAGCATATCCGGTAAGCTTCCGCTCGGAAGGTCCAAATGTGCTGGGGGCGTTATCCGCGAGTCTTAGCCTCGATCCATCCGGCTGTACCTGTTTGCATCCAGATCTGTCCTTCAGAACGATATTTCGTCTGGTGGCTGAGGACGTGGGGAATGGACGGCCGCTATGGCAAGGAAGATCATTCCGAGAAATCACCATATACACTTTGATGAATAGAATGCTTCCTGTAGGAATTCTTCTCTCATTTGAGTGACAGATGGGCGACAAACGCGTTTCCTCAAATCTTCGCGGAGTCTCGCGAAGTCCCGGTCGAGGCGCAACACTCTGGCATTCTCCGAGCTCTCCCAATTCTAGTTTTCTGGACTTCGGAAGCTTGATGGATAAATGTGAATAGATCGTGCCTATTCTAGACTTGGAGAATATCTGCTAGAGCGAAGCGTCAACTCCCGAGTTGATTTCCCAATCCCATGTGCGCTTTGAGATCTTCTGTCCAGAGGTCCAGAGGATTGCGAAGTATATAGGTCAACGCTCTCATGAGAATATGCCTGCGATGGGGTAGACGGCCAAGTGGCACCTGAAAGACCAGACGAGGTTGCCTAGCGACCGGCTCAGGAAGAGCCAGACGATGCTCAGCAGGTCTGATGCTCCGGAAGGGCAGATCAACACTCGAGGAAAACATTTGGGATCGGGCGAACTCATTTCCTTCCTGCAGAATCTCCAGCACCCACGGGAGATCCGTCCGAATAGGGGCTGTTCCGAAAAGACTGAGTTTTTCGCTCCCGAGGATTATTGATGGCACGAAGTCCCTCGAGAGGCGTGGATTATCATCGCTCATTTGCGTGCCCTAAATATTTGCGGGAATAGCGTCCTGGAATGTATTAAATTGGGAAGCATCCTCTGAAACGGGTCCCTTTGCAGTGATCGAGATTTACATACATATTTGGTTGTCCAGGAAAAAATCGGTCAGCCCATGCGTTTTCCACTCAGAGGTCCGGCGATCACTGAAATTGTTCCGAGGCTAAAGCATGACAACGCCAGTCCTGATTCACTTTGCGTCGTATTGTCACTTAGGGAAATTCGGCTATGCGTCATAGTCTAAAGGTTTGCGGACATGGCTCACATCGGTGCTCTGATGGCAATTATTCGCGACCGACGATTGCGTCGCATGTGGGTCGATGTACACATTTCGAGGGCATTCCTCTGAGCTCTCCCAGGCTTTACGGAGCGCCGGTTCCACCGTTTCATCGAATTTCGCGGGGGATCGAGAAGGATGGTACTTCCTGAGAGGAACCGACCGCGGTAGATCCGAAAACGTCTCCGGCCTATCGATATCAGGCCTTCCGAAGCCTCGAACCCTAAATCAATTTCTCGACCCTTCGAGTCGAACTCGTCAGCATAAGCGAATTATTGCAGTATACCCGTAGAAAAATTCAGCATTGCTCTTCGCTCCAAATGAGACATTGTCGTATTTATTCTCTGGATACAGCTGTGGGAATGTTACAGTTTGTTCGAGACATGTGATTCGAAGCCGTCCCCATCGTCTCCTTTTCGTAATGTTCGTGTCCCAAATCAACATCATTATCATAATAACTCTTTTCACGTGCATAATATCAGACACATGGTAACAGTTATGTACAAGGTAGTATATGGTAACAAAATACTTCGAGAATCCCGCTCGAACGAAGCACCTGAGCATACAGAAGAATATCTGAGGGAACCCGCTCGGCGTGGCCTTCCTCAAATCGGAAGTTCCGATCTTCTCAGATGAGAGGGGGCCTTCTGGATTGCAGTGGATGCGTCGTAGCGACTTCGTTCGCAATTAAGGTCCTCGTGATTGCCTCCGTCCCGTCTTCTGCCGTGGATGCGTTTCGTTTCTCCGCATCGTTGAACATTGTCGCCTCGAAACCGAGCCGACTTGTTTTGCGAGCATATCGGTGCGCAATAAAGTATCGTGCGATGCAGCTGCGTCAAAGTACCCTCTCTGGCGTGAGATCACCGCATCCAGAGGCTCAGAAACGTCGAGAACAGAATCAGAGCCAGAGCCGATTGCGTCTTAAGAGATGAATTTCCGAAGCACTTGGTTCCAATCAAGCTATTCTCTCGAAGGCACCAATATTCTCCCTGACAATCACAGGTGAAATAACCGTTCGAGACGGCGTAAAGAATGCGGGCGCTGGCGGCACATTGCTCGTTGCAGGGTTCCGCGGTCCTCTCGATCGCTCCACGACACGACGTCCCGTAATAAGTGTAGGCTAGATAACAGAGCTCGTTCTCCTTGCAGCGAGTCCGAACGTCCGCGCAGCTCGAAGCGCGAGCCGAATGATTGTTGAACTCGTATTCTGTGAAGTTGATTTTGTCGTTCCAGCATTCAGACAGACGGTCTTTGCCGATAATACAGTTCGAATCGTCGGGTTCACATTTACAAGTGACTAATTTGTAGCCTTCGACCATCGACGACAATGTTATGAGGTCTAAGCGACATCGATCGAGACAGAGACCTTGGGGAGTTCTGAAAGGAGGAAAGCAGAATGAGCCTCGACGTCTATCGATAAATGACCGCTTATTGTCACCTGTTAGACACCCAGGGGATGTCGGACGTGTAATTTCCTATCGGATCGGCGCGTGCAAACGGAACTTGCGTCCCTTTCGGAGAGGTCACGATCGTAGGGATGGATTCATCGAGGAAAGAGAGGGCAGCCCTCGGAATGTGAATCATTTGGAAAACCGAGATAGGCGGGCGGAGTTCGCAGTTCCGTGCTAGGAATCTCCTAGGTTGAGAGCCACTGCGGGGGGCATCGAAGTCGAGAGAGAAATTTCTGTTTTATTGAATGGACTTGATAATTTCGAAAATACATTGGTCTCCAGAGATCCGAGTGCTGTTCCGGGCGGTCGTCGTTATTCTCAAAGGAGCTCATTCCAAGACGTGAAAGGAGCTCGAACCCTAGATTAAAGCGAAGCGGTTTCGATAGGAGCGCGCAAGAAAACTGAATACACTCACTTTCCACGAAGCTCTTGAGCACATCCCAGTGTGTATGTGTGATATAGGATTCCGCATTTCTCGGTTCGACTCGTGCACGTGTGGGTCGCATTCGCGCAATCGACGACGCTCAGTTCGGGGACTGATGCCGTGACTGGGGAGGCCAAGAAGATTAAGACCAGGATGCGAAAGTTGGAGAGCAGCTCGCATGGCAACTCCCTCCGTCTCATCCCGAACGCTTCTCGACAGCCTGGAATAGGAATGAACCGAAATTAGTTGAGGAAACCCTCGGTAAAGTCCAGAAACCAACTTCACTGAACCGAGTCCACGTCGGCTCGCTTTCTGTTACGGTGACTTCTTTCTCTGACTCCTGCGATCGATTCGAGATGATAGCAGGTCGGTGTGCACCGTGGTCGGAATCGTGAGATACTTCTGGGGCACTGGTCCTGAGCATTTGGATGCCTGCGGCTCCTTGAACCTCCTTATCCAAGTTTGATAATGCGGGGAACTCGGGATTCACGCCTCTCCTAGGAAACCCGCAAGAACTTGCCGAGGCTCTTCGGACACCCTCCTTGGGCTTCCCGAAAGCGCCACGCTCCGACAGAAATTTCTTATTCATATCTTTCCAATGTATGAATCTGAGAAGGGGTCCGGTCGAACGCCCTCGGATATAATTTTGTATTTCGGAATATCTTCGGTCCGGAAGACTGAACATGCTTTTCAGCCTCTCCGGGGTGCCAGGATGATCCGGATCTGTCAGGAGGTTTTCCCAGTGTCAGAGATGCTCGTCCACATGGCAATCAGATGTTACAGCCGTAACATCTCGCGTGACAATTTTTTCCGGTCAGTGCAAAAGTCCGGAACTGACATAGCGAGCTCGGGGAAAAGATGGCCGGTGAGTTCGGAGCTTTGCGGAGACGTGTCCTACATTTTATACGATCTCTATCAGAGAGGACAACACGCATCAAAACGAACCGGGCGGACGGACGAATGGACTTTTCTACCCCACAACGAGCGTGAACACAGCTCGACTCACAAAACTCGGACAAAGCGCGGTTTCTCCAAGGCTCCGCGGGGTTCCCATTTTATTGCCCGCTCCCTTTGCTGGGGAGGGGCGGAACACTACTATGCACACCTGAGTTCCCGTTCTCCGGTTTTCCGTCGCTTTCGTGGGAACATACTCCGACCGAGCTCCTCGGAAGTCGATATTTTTGTCCGCATGCCTACTCCGCGAGAAGTTTCAAGCCGAGCCGCGACTGTATGTAGACTAGCTTGGTGGATCGAGAAGACTGAAATTCCTTCGATCATGGCAGACTTCCCGGGGCTTACCGGAGAATCAAAATATTTGAGGAATGAAAGAAGCAGTGCGGTGATATGCCGAAATCCAAGCGGAACATTCAACTCGCTTCAGGCAATGCGATTCACCTGCCACTGTCAGAGCATTTTTGAGACAATATTCCGTCCCTTATCGCGCCAACCAGACCTCGGCTCATGATCTGTAGCCGAGGAGCCGATCATTGCTGACAGTGTCTGAGCTGCCTGATGGGTATCCCCACCCCCTACCCCTTCGGGAGACACCACCTAGGGATCTCAGAGCATTCGAAATAGGGCGTCATCCGGACTATTCAATAATCCCATCTGTTGCTCCCACCCAGCTCGCGTTCGGATCTCGAAATTCAGGAGTCTCGATGCGCCAGCTCTGGGGAAGGCCCGCGTCAGAAAACGTTCCGCGCAGCACAGAACACTCTTCGATATGGGCCGCTGGTCCCAGATGAGCATCTCGCCTAAGTTAAGCGTCTAGCTGGACTCATCCTTGTGCGGAGAGAATAAATGCTGCGGTAAGCTTCCCATTTGGCCGAAGATTGCGTACCAGTAGAATCATGCTGACTCGCTTTTATCGGATGCGAGTGCTCGTCCATTAAACACTTTCCATTATCCTCTTCTGAGAAGTTTCTTCTGGGACGAACCGCTGCGGAAACCGCTCCCGGCTATGCTGTGCTCCGCTCACTGTGTCCCGCATGTGCTCTCCCGAACGTTGAGCATAACGACAGCTGGTCCGCTTACGGCTCATGATATTGCTCGGCATCTGATCTGATTGTACATAAGTATCGATCCTTCTCTTCCCGACTCTCCGTGTCCCAATGCAACCCTTCAAGGCTGGCAATTGCGCGGAATGGAGGAAACCGCTCCGATGTCACGTTCTTCCCAAAAAGATTCCCGTGTTTCTCTCCTCCGGGAGACTGACCTCTGCTAAGAGAAACTCCGACCAAGAAACGCCCACGGAGCAACAGTCCAGCTCATATTCCATCCCGAAAGGAGAACTAGATCGAGCAGTGACCCGTGGGAGTTTCAAGGAAGACTACGCCGATCTCCCGATGCGCAGCGTGCGTCTTGTCAGCGAACCTACATAAACCTAAGCGGGAGAAAACCGTGGCCGAGCCCCGGAGAGTTTCCATGTGTCACCTGGACCGGGGAATTGTTCAACGAGCTAACGCACTCGATACTTCTCCATCGTTTCGGGACGGGCTCACGGGTACTTTCGGGAAATGCTCACCACCTTGATCAGCAACACGAGTGCACGGCGAGCCCTCCAGTCTGCCACTTTTCTGACGGAGAGCACTCTGCCGAGAAATTGAACCGCAACATGTGTATCGGAAATTCACGAAGCCACCTGAAGTTGACTACTGTCTCCAGAAGCATTGGTCTTGTCCACGGTGGCAACGCAGCGGCATCGGCTAGAGCGATAGAGTTTGTGCTCGCAGTGGAGAGCTCCCATCCACAGGTGTCTCCGAGGTCAGCCTCCGCGCGATACGCGGCCAGTCACACAGGCGGTGCTCCACATAAATTCCCACCGCAGAACAGCGATCTCAACGAGCTCCATCGAATTGGGAGATCCTTCGCAAACGAGCAATGAAGCTTTTTGATTCAAATGAGTGAGGGATAGAGAGAGGGAGAAGGAAAACGGCGGAATGTCGATAGGCGTTTCTCCAGCACGTTCCCCGGCGGCGTTGTCAGTAATCTTCTGCTTCCGCCAGACCCCGCCGAGCTCGCGTATTCCCGTCCTGATCCTTTCGTTCCGAGCTTACCCCAACTGTATGAATCGACCCGAGCACAGCGGATCATCCCGTTTCCTCATACACTGAGGCATTCCGATATCGGTGCTGAGGGCTGTATGCGGATGCTGGAGGAGGCTACTCGAGAATTTTCCGCCGACCCAGAGCGGGGGATATTATATTAATCCGTTCATCAAACGATCCGTCAGCTCCATACGACCGCATGGGGTGAATTCCGCAGCCGCTGCATCGATATTTCGCCGAAGGGAGCTCCGGAGCTGGCTCTCTCAGTGAGTATCCGTCAAAATCAAAGGTTCGAAAATAGTTGAGATGGCATCGCTCCGATCTGTACGCCACGGACGTTCTCGGAGCGTTCGACAAATTCGAGAGACCCGACGGAGCATGAGGGAGAATGCACGAAGCCTCTCCGAGTTTCTCGCCAAGCGAGCTGTCACGACTGGAATTTTTCTCTCCCAAACCTCCGTGAAGCGGAACGCGGGGAGAGATTCAGTCAGCAACCTTCTGAAGTAGAAAATAAATAGAGAAAAAACCGAGGCGCGGATGCGAGAAGACGAATCCGTCTTCTTCTTGAAAAGGAGCTCATGATGTACAAAAAAAACCGAGTCATGTCCGGGGATTGTCGCAGATGCCCGTCAGGGGGCTCGTAGCGCTCTTAGAGGATTCTCACCCCCAGGAGGAGGAACTCTTCGTGCGACAAGATCGTTTCTCCGCCAGATTCCGGTCGAAGTGAGACGGCTCTGACAGCCAGGATCGGATCGAGGCGACCGTTATTAATTTTTACGACGTGAGGGAGCTTCACCCCACGAAGTCTTCGTCTGTTATGATACATGGAACAATCATATGGAAGAGGATTTCGATCCGGGCTCTTCGTCCTCCGCGGGATATGGCTCTCATGACGCCCACCGTCTCCCTACCGAAAATACATTCCTTCGGGGAGTTGCGCCAAATGCCGAAAGTTCTAGAGGTCCGTGGTGTTCCTCTTAGGGAGTCATTCCGCGTGGGTTACCAATCGAGTATCTGATCAGATCTCCACGGTCATATTTCACGGAACTTCTATCAGCAGCAACGGTGGATGACGGAAACAGGGCTTTCCGCTGATTCTGCTCTCGTTGTCCCCACGGAGCAGATCTTCGACTGAACTTCTGCTCAGGTGAGCAAACACGGCGTCTACTATCAGCTTCCGGGGCATCTGAAGAAACTTTGGGTTCCTGGGCCACAAATCGGGAACGAACCCAGAATGGAACTGAGCTCAGATGGATCATTGCCGGGAAGTCCCTTAATTGTCGACGACGAAGCTCCCGCTCTCGCTCCGGCAGAGATCTCTCGAGAAGCGCATCGCACGTTTTGCAGAGAGAGCGCTAGACACGCTCATCACTCAACACACAGTCACCCTGCATGGGTGACCTGCGTCAACCTTCCGCGGTAGTTTCACGCGGATCAGCATGTATTAAGAGAATAGCGACTTATTGTTGGTCGGCTCGTTGAAGGACGGCCAGAGATTCCCTCGGGCCCAACCGCTTCTGATGGCTCGGGTCCGGATTCTCCCGACTTGTCGCACAGTCCACTGTAAGCCACTCAATTCGATGCCCGGTGTATGTCGTATTATCTGCGTCCGGATGAAGATGGAACTGTCATGTCTCGACGCAATGCTACTTTCGACGTGAGTCTGGCTGCGGGAGATGATGGAGCGACGGCATGGTGTGCTCACTAAAGTCCCAGAAAAATGGAGTCGATCCTTACATTTTCATAGATACCAGAGGGAAGTCTGAACCCCTGTCTGATTAACGCGCCCGGAGGCGAATTATTACAGAGAATGCAGGAGGAATGGGGACGAAAATCAATATCTCCTCAGGAAATTCCCTGTTATAATTATGTGCTTCCGAGGGAAACCATCAAGGGATTCCGCTGCATTTCTCGCATGCGCCGAGAGCGACGCTTCCACCAGGATTAATTACCGTGCAGCATCTGTTCTGATATTAGCACTGGTCAGCGCTAGATTCCATCGAGTGGGGACCTCTCGGCAGATCGGCCGTTTTCCCAGAGGGATCTCCGTTCAAATGGCCGTAAGCGTTTTCTCCCGGTAATCCTCCGGATACCAGATAAGGGAGGACGCTTTCCTGGAGCTTCCCGTATCAATCAGGGATCGGGCACTCTCCCGCCTTCTCGCCGCCATGTTAGGAATTAATGAGCACTTCCAACTTTTCCTCGCCTGTTTGATCAACCGGCCTAACCGGTTGAACGCTGCCATGAATGCGATGATATGGTACGAGGATTCGTATCAGTGAATGGGAGCCATCGGGTATCGAAATGGCCTTCAAGCTGCACAGGCGAGGTAGCGAAGGAATCGCTTATGAGCAACGGAGTTTGTCCCCAATTATCCTCTTGGCTTCATCGGGATCCTGATATTCCGTCAAAAGTGAGCAGCCGGTCATCGTCGGAACTTCATTCGACAGAAAATGCAGCTTTTCTCTGTGGCTTTCTTCCTCCCGTCGCAATGGGCCGAACATTGCGATGTTGGAAAGTGGGAATCCTTGGCTCATTCGTCCACAACGAGGGAAATCAGCTTGAGTTTAAATGTCTCTCGAGTGCCGACACGGATGGATCAGCTCACGAAACCTTCGAGACATGCTGCGAAGCATTCTCAAAGATTTTCCCATCGAAACTCGTGTCTCGGTGGAGTTGTATCTTACGAACATGGTGAGTGCCTGCGTTGTCGGAGGTTCCGTCATGCCCAGTTGGAAGTAACTCTCTAATTATGAACGACCTTCACTTTCTGAATCGGTGAGTTCTGCTCTAACCCGACGTCGGAGCGTCCTTCCTAGTCGCCGACTCTTCATCGAGGAAAAAATTTGCCGAGGTGAAGAGAAAGACGATTTTTCCTCATGGACAAGCTTTTCCGATCTGGCTCCCAGGCATCGAATGTTATCCTCTCCACCAGAACTTCGCGTTGAGCGGGCGCTCTGCGCATGTTCTTGCAGCGGCTCGTTTTCGATATATGTATTTCTGGTGACCGTCCACGATGGGATATGATCTCGCTGTTCAAATGTTAGCTTTGTCCGTCGAGGGTGAGAGAGTGCCGTGTGAGTGTACTGTCCATCAATCACTGGCCTGTCACAGGCCCATTAAGGTACTCCCTAGACTCTTTGAACTTCCAACGGATAAGCACCTCCTTACGTCTCAGCCTTGAAGGGAACCGGACTGTTTTTCAGCAAAAAGCGCGCAGATTGCCTGAATCGACACTGATTTACTGCTATCCCTCAAGTTCAGTCAGAGCGCGGACACTTCGGGGTGCGCATCACTGGAGTAAGAAGCTTTCGGCTCCGATTGACCCCGCCCCCAAAATCCAATCACGATCGCGCAAAGATAAAAGTTCCCGGCGGCGGCCGCAGCTCTCGTGGAATTCAAGATGGTGGCACGAGCGCTGGAAGCTCCGGGCTTCCACGAGTCGAGATCGGGGAAGCATCGAATTTCCCGACGCTGAATCGGGCTCGCCCTGGCTCATCGAACTCCCCGCGAGCCCCATGCGGAAGACTTCCAGAATTCCCGCTGACGCCACGTCTACTACGACGTGTCGCCGTAACCCCAATTCGCGGCGGGGATCTCTCGGTGCGCTATTATGGAATTTTATTGAACAGCCATGCGGGAAATCAAAAAATGACTCAATAGCTGATTCGAGGGCAAGTCTGCGGGGTCAATTCTTCGCCAGTGAAGAGCTTTCGAGCAAGCCTTTCTAAAAAGTGCCGGGATTAATTTTTTCGCAGCGAGATCGAGGTCAGTGGTCTGGAACTTTCATTCGTTCTTGGTCTACATGCCTCGCCCGCACCCACCGAGCAGCTCACGAATGCACTTACAACACGCCAGGAGCCGTCGAGTCTGGTCTACAGAGCGAACTGGTAGACGATCCGTCGAGGAGCCAAATATGTACTCGCAGGAGGCTGTCAGCAACAGAAATTAAACAATAATAGGGAAAAAATCATCTCACAGATGTAATAATTCCTTCCAGCGCAGGCTGGCTCGGCTCTCCACGACCTGAATGCGGGTGGAATCCGAGATCCGACACAGTCTCGCCGCATCTCGGGAACGATGCATCACGTGGTGGCCCATGGACCGCGACGCACGCCGTAGACGGAGTGCCACTGGAGCGCTCAGTTTCAATTACGCGGGAAATAATTACGGAGGGAAAACGACGGAATCATGCATCCCTGCGGAAAGCCGAATCTGCGCTGATTAATTGAGCTCATGAGGCGATGATGGCGGTCTCTCGGAAAAATGGAGCTCGTTCAGGGTGGCGGGCCGACCCGTCATCGATAGGCGCCCGTCTCGCGTGTGGTCTGAAAAATCAGTCTCGCGTACTGCTCGGAGAGGAGAACGCGCGATCCGTATCTGAGATGGTCACACATAAACTGGATCCCCTAGGGTCGGGCCACCTCAATGCGACAGCGTCAGGCACCATGCCTGACTGACGACGGGGCTCGAGGCGATACACTCGGCTTGTACTGGACGAGATAAACTTGATCCGGCTTATTTAAAACGCCCCGGTCCTGAATTCTAAATCGATGCTTCGTCAA